GACGGACAACAGAAAAGTGGGTGAAGGGAGACGTCGGACAGGGCAAGATATGACAAAATAATAATTTATAAATTATCAAGGGCTCATGAGGGATGGGGGAGCAGGGAGAGAGGGGAAAAATGAGGACCTAATGCCGGGGCCTTAAGTGGAGAGCAAATGTTTTGAGAATGATGAGGGCAATGAATGTACAAATGTGCTTTACACAATTGAGATGTATGTATGGATTGTGATAAGAGTTGTATGAGCCCCTAATAAAATTACTTAAAAAAAAGAGATAAGGGGTCTTTTTGGAATGTAATTTCCTCTCATTTATATTAATGATAGGAAGGAGTTATTTTGTAGCAAAAGAATGGGTTCCCAGTTAAAAGTGGGTCGCCCTGTGAGAATCGGGCCAGGATATTTTAAGAACAGTCTTAGCGGGTGATGAGCGGTCATTCTGCTAACTGGACAAACACTGCCCTCTCACCATGACTAATCGGCACAAAAAGTCTCCAGGAAGGCAGGACAGCCCCTCCCTGCTATGAATTTGGCTCTTGGAAAAACCCACCTCATCGGACAAGGAGAACACGTGTTACGCAGTCACTCCTACAAGGGTTATTGCTAAAATGTGCCCAAATGTCATCCCTCTGCAAATGTGAAAACATTCAGGAAAGTGAAAGCCAGGGGAGAAGGAATCTTCCAGGGATAAAGCGAGCATCTGTTCCCCAACTACAAGACACCAATTCCCTGTGCATTTGGATGGCGTCGCGGTCATGCCTTGGGCTGCTAATGGCAAGGCCAGCAGTTTGAAACCACAAGCCGGCTCCACAGAAGAAAGGCAAAGCATTCTATTCCCATAAAGCGTTACTGTCTCAGACACCCAGAGAGACCATTCTACCCTCTCCTATGAGTCGGCATCAACTCAATGGCAGGGGTGGGTTGGATGTTCTCAGCTTTAAATATTTTAAGGAGATGTTTACTAAAATGATGTTCTGGGCCATTTCTCTCGTTTATGATTTTATTTCTAGTTTATCCTTTATTGTGTGAATTCCCACGAGACATGATATTTGTATGGTGCACACATGTGTTGGACACAGCCTGTGTCCTCGGCTAGTCACTCCCCCTGGGGGCCCTGATTGAGTCAATGGGCGACACGGAAGACAGTTCCTGCAGTGAGAAGAAGCAGGAAGGGAGCTGGTGATGTCTGCTTTTTACCTGACAGGAATATTCAGAGAAATAATAGAAAAGATCCCCCCCACCCCCCGCTCATTGGCGCCACCAAACTCAGCTAACAGTGTTCTGAAATTTGGAGCTAGACTAGGAAAGGGTGATGTCCCTTTAGGCTGGTTTGGGTTTAGAAAGGCCACTTACTGTGAACAGTTTATTGCTGATGAAGCCGCGGTCTCGGAGGCCCTCGAGGAAAGGAAATGTCTTGTGTATTGCATGGGAGAGCTCCACCTTGAGTTTTCTGTAGTGACTAAATACAGCCTCATAGAACAACCCATCTTCCAGGCCCTGGTCTTCCCTGGACATCCTGGGAGAAAAAGCATATAAAAATGGTCATGGAGATTCCAAGATACCTGTAGAGGCAGTAAGAAGTAGTCAGTGAAGGTAGTCTGTGAAGAGTCAACGTACAGTATATAACATTAAGTGGGCCCTACCAGCGACCAGAATAAGTGGAATGGAAGTAGTACTCAAAAATATAACAGAGGAGGGCATAAAGGGTTCAAGAGACTTACACGGCAGACTGAAAAGTATAGCCTGTCCCAAGTCAAGGCATTGTAAAAATATCTTCATCTGAATATATCTGGAAAGTTACATTAATTCCCAAAGCATTGATTCTTATAAAATTGAAATGGAATTAAGGTCATGCACACTGAAATGAAAACATTGGAGTACTAATAGAATTTTGCCTTGATAATGAAAGTCCTTATTATGGAGAGAAAATAAACTTCTGTGTGGCAGTTACATAATCTCCTGTCAACTTGCAAAGGGGTGGTGTCTAGCCTGTCAAGCAGGTCCCAACTTGATGAACTCATTTGGAAGAGCAAAGGAGATAAATTGCTCACTGGAGACCAGATACACTCTCTGCTTCATCTTCCTGCTGAGAAGACACATGGAGCTACACTAGAGCCCTAGAGCTGGAGGAGCCACGTGAAGACCCATGCCAGTAGAGAGATACTACCACTGCCACGCCATTGGATCCACAAGACTTTCCACCCACTGGTCTGTGATCTTCCTCCATTTGGTGCCATTGAATGTTTAGTGTGAGTCTGAAGAGGGATTTATAGCTTGGTATTGGACATATGGGCTAATATTGGTCTTAAGAACTTGATCTGGACTGAATGGGAATGTTTTCTTAATGTACAATTACTGTTTATATAAAGCTATTTCTTATACATATATGAGTGTCTATGAATTTGTTTCTCTAGTTTGCCCAGGCTAACACATTCAGTAAATAAACAATAAGATGTCACCTCTCTGACCTTTCATGATCAAAGAAGCAACACCATCCAGTAACATAAAACCAGTTCATAAAAGATGGGGTTTGGTTTAATAATAATAGTATTTTTCTAAGGTAGAAATGGAATAATTCACAATAATTATCAATTGTTCCCCCTCCACCCAGGTAGCTGCTTTTGCTTTGTGTTAGTATAAATCTATACTGCTCAGAAAGCAGATTGACCCAGATTAAACAAACAAACAAACAAAAAATGCATTGTCATGTAGTCAGTTTTGGCTAATAGCAACCCTATGGGACAGTAGCTCTGCCCCTGTTGGGTTTCAGAAACCATAACTCTTTATGAACGTGTAAAGCCTTATCTTTCTTCCATGAAGCACCAGGTGGATTTGAACTGCTGACCTTGAAGTCAGCAGCCCAACTCATCACCCAATAAGGCACAGTGCTCCTCAATGCGTATGTTGTTGTTGTTGTTGTTGTTGTTAGGTGCTGCAGAGTCAGTTCTCACTCATAACACTCTCTGGACAACAGAAGGAAACAGTGCCCAGTCCTGAGCCATCCTCACAATAGTTCTTCTGTCTGAGCCCATTGTTGCAGTCACTGTGTCAGCCCTTCGTGTGGAGGGCCTTCTCTTCTCCACTGCCCTCCGCCTTCCCAAGCACGATGTCCTTCTCCAGGGACTGGTCTTTCCTGACAACATGTCTAGAGTACATGACACAAAGTCTCAGCATCCTTGCAAATATATAGGCAGGTTAAAATTTAACATCCTATCATTTATTTTTACTTTGGTCCATAACATTTTTTAAATTTACTTTTAACAGTTTCACTGACATACAATTCACATATCATACATTTAATCAGTTTAATTGCATTCCTAAGAGTTGTGCAAACATCACCACCCCTATCAATTCCAGGATATTTCTTCTTCCTTGCACTCCGTTGTTAACGCTCCATTTCCCGACAACCTCCCGACCAGTTGTTGTCTCCATAGGTCTACCTAATCTGGGGTTCATATACAGAAAAAAGTTACCTAATCAAAACACAACACAAACAAATGGCCCAACAATGACACAGTGAAACAGGAAAACCTCAATCAAAACCAAAGCCTAAAATATGAAAAACTGGAACAATTATGTAATGAATCCAGAGGGAGATGAAATGAACAAGTATCACAATTTGACCAAACTAGAACTGCAGTGATCGACCTACAATGTTCTCTGATGGACAACAAGGCCTTTTCACTCCTGGTCCACCCTCCCAGAGGGGAGGCACCCACGGTTTCTTTCCTTGTCATCCGCAGCCTCTGCAAACCGGGTGCTTGGAATGTAAACCCTAATACAATACCCTCCCCAGATTGACAATTGCTGGATCACATAGGCTGATGTGCTTTTTCCATGTGGGCTTAGCTGGTACCTCACTTAGATGACTGATGGTTTTAAGACAATCCTCTAAGATTCCAGGTGCTCTTCTTTCTGATAGCTGGACACCACCTGCTTTCTTCACCGCATTCGTCCCCCTTACTTTTATTGGCAGTCTTACAACTCATCACAATCCAAACATTCATCCAGTGTGTCAAGCATATTTGCACATAGGCTGCCATCATCATTTTCAAAGCATTCTCTTCCCACTTGAGCCCCTGATGTCA